AACCATCGCTGTGCTGACCCGGATAAGTATGAGGGTAACGCCTTTGCCATAAAGTTCATGGTTGCATGTCGGATTCTCATGACTTGGACATACCCTTGCAGCCATTGGAAGACATCGGTATCTCCTGAATATGGCTTGAATTCTTTAGGGAAGTCGAAGTCTCGGGGCTTAGATTCATCTCGAATGCTGGGGATGAAGGGGCTCCGGTCTAGCCCTATCCCGATGATCTTTCTCATTTCCTCACGGATCAAGGTATTCTGGTCTCTTGTTCCTTGCTGATCTCCCTGGAAGTATGGAAGATTTTCTCTATGACGATTATGTTGCTGCTGTCTTGGAGGTGAATATCGAGGACGGTGGTGGTATTCTTGGTCATAGTTGCCCTCGATGTTGTTGTGGCCTCGATGTGGTTCGTAGTCATGTCTGTACTCACCTCTTCGAGGGCTTCTTCGATTCCAATTGAATTCTAGGTGATTATGTGTATTAGTTCGCCTTGAGGGCTTCCCCTGTTCTCCTTTGACGATCTCGACACTCGGAGGGTCGAGATTCTCCCTAGTGTCCCTGCGTTGGTATATTGCGTCGAATTCCTCAAAGGCGGTATCGAAGGCTGGGTATCTTTCTCTGAAGGCATTCCAGAATATGGTATCTCTGGTAGCATACGAGCGTTCTTCGTGGGGGTTCTCGTACCCCTCGGTTTCTAGATAGTTTTCCTGCTCTTGGACTTTCCACTTGCCCCGTTTCTTCTCGAGAAGGGCTAGGGTTCTTCGAGCTTCTTTTTCGTCGATCAAATCCTCCAACTCTTGTTTTGTTGGGTCGGGTTGTCCAAGGAGACGACGTCGCCTGGTTTCTTCGAGAACATATCTCCGCATCCTCTTTTGTTGGTCGCTATTATCGCCTAACTTCTTGAGTTCAGCCTCGATTTTGGCTAGTTTCTGGTCTTCCAAACGCTTGGCCGTAGCGGGGGTATTTCGAGGAGGAGGTATATCCTCTTTTTCAGGTGGAAGGTTGGTGTTGTTTTGTTTTTCGGATCGGGCAGAGAAGTGCCAAGAACCAAACGCTCTTTCATCAGTTTTTTCCCAGGTTCTCCGCCGTGGCTTTTTCCTGTCTTTCTTTTTTCTTGCCGGTATTGGAATTCGGCTAGGGGAGTATCGTCTCCTAGACTATGCTGGTGGCCGGAGGAGGCCGTGCTACCGGCATCTTCTTCAACTCTGACCATCGTGTCGATTGTTTCGGCAACCCTAATTGTTATGAAAAGATGTTAAGGAAACCTGAGAAGGTTTCTGTGACACAAACCCTAATTTACGGGTCCCACTGGCAAGCCACTTGACGATGCTTGGATATGTGCCATCGGTTTAGAGGTGGAACTCCGGTTAGGGTTACCTGCAAAACAAGGCCTCGGGATCTCCTGAGGGTAGACACTCAGATGCTTAAGTCAGTGAAAAGGGTTACCAGAAAGTTTGGCAAGGTAGTTTGTTCGGCTATAGATTGCGTACCTGAATTGTGGTATGAGCTACCCTATTTATAGGTATAAGATTACCTGGTAAATTTCCAAATCCAACTAGGTTTCAGGAATTTACACCGCCCTAAGAGTTCCGATTGGACACTTCCTATGGTTGGTGGGCCAGTACAGTCTCGGTGATGGATCTGGACTCATCAGGTACCATAGTAAACCTTTCACAACTACCACGACTCTTCCATAAAAAGTCTCAGGGCATAATGAGATCTTCCCTTTTGGCAAGGCAAAGAACCTGATGTCCCCAGCAATATAGACATCTGCTTCGGACATCCAGAAGAAAAACATCACTAGCACAGGCGAGGATCTTCACCAGCAGGAGAATCAAAAACACCCTGCAATCAACATTAGATAAAAAGACACTATAAGTGATATCTCGTAAACCACAAAAAAATCCTAATTAAATACAATTCATCTTCACATATAAGACAATGATAACTAATAAACCCCCCAAAAAAAGACATTTCATATGCTATCTCAAAGATAAAAGGTATGGTCCAGGAAAATGAAAAACACTGAAACGCTGGGAACACGAACTTTTCCGGTTGCTTAGTTTTTTCAGTAACTCGTTACGATTTTTATTTATGGTTTGCCGAAAAAAAGACGAATTACATTTTACCCCTTAAGTTTTGGCCCAATTTACTATACCCCCCCCCCCAAATTTTAGTTATACTGCAATATACTCCTTTGATCCATAGTTAACCTACCAAATACCTTCTTAACCTACTAACATTATCATCAATTTGTGTAAATAGTCAAAAATACCCTTCAATCCTTTTATTTTAAATTTTACGATTTAAATATTTATAAAAATATATCATCAATTAAGTTCAAAATACTTCTCATTAATTTCCTTTATAGCCACAATGATGTTTTTTTTTTTACTGAATTTTCAATTCCATGGATATGGAAATGGGTTCTAGAAGTCGATTATACTGACAAGAAATTTCCTTGCCTCAAAAGAGGTTGTTATACCAAATTTTGGGACAAAATGATGAAGACCAACCTAGATACAAAACAATTGGATGGACAAGAAGTATTAGATGACATTCATTTGAAGAATGAACACTACCACAATATTAAATAACAAATTGAAGTAAGGGGAATTAACCCTTTCCAACATATCACAGTGAAGATAAAGCTGCAGAAGGATCATATATCCAGAGAAGAAATTATTCAAGCTTATATGGAAGAGCTAAAACAAGAATTAAAAAGGAATTTGGCTGATGATAGATCAGATGTTTCAATGGTGACATCAAGTGAAGGACATTGTTTAGCTGAACAATCACAGGACCCAGATGAAGAACATGAAGAAGAATTGATCAACGAACACATCAAACAAGTAACTGCTGAAATAAATGCAGAAACAAGTGGGGACATCCTCAAGAAAAAGAATCAGTTATTATGTAATAAGACCAAAAATTGTGTTGGAAAGTTGCTTTGATAAAGCAACAATAAATGTTGTAATACTGTGTGTTAATAGTACTGAATGTGGTCATACTGTACGGAATTCAAAAGAAAAATGTTGTAATACTGTGTTAGCACTATTGTAATCCTCTACGGAATTCAAAAGAAAAATTTTGAAATCCGTAACAATAGTCAGGAAAGAGTCCTATAAATAGGGATTAGAAATCCCAAACTGGACATCGACTCTTTCATTCTCCTTTCAGTTTCCTCTCTCCCTCCCTCTGTAAATATTTTCTAAGTTTAAATTTGAAGAAGAAGAGTTCTGCTCATTTGTGAATATCTTTGTAAGTATTCTTACATTGCTTGTCTTTTATTTTATATTGTTGTTTTAAATTCATAATGACATGCTAATAGCTTGGTGGTTGGGATATGATGAAGTAATTGCTTGTTTAAATGTAATTTTGATCCTGTTAATGATAGAATAATGGAATGATTAGAGAATCATTTTGAAGGCGGTAAGAGTTATTAGAGCTTGTCATGAATTATATGAGTAGGGTTAGCCCGTTTTAAAGCCGTGTGGTTGGCGTGTTAAGGGCATTGATCCCAGTTTGCTCATATAAATTCAATGTTGACGGATCTGATTTTAGATGGTATAAAGATGCTTTCTTAAATAGAGTAATGGAATTACATGATAGCAATATTAGCACTCACTGAAAATCTAAGTTTATAGTTAGATTACCAAGCTTGTTTGCTGAAAGAGTTAGAAAAGTTTTAAGAAAAGACAGGATTAATATTCCTTATGAAAATTATACTGGAAAATTAATAGGAACTTGTATTCAAGAAGGTTTAGCACTGTGTAATGAGATAAAATTGAATCAGCAAATTAAAAGACAGAGATTAACTGAAACAAAATAATTAGGACAGTTTTTTAGTCAATTTAGGATGGAAGTTCCATCAGAAAGAAAATTCATAAAAAGTTTTGAGAAAGATGATAAATATTATAAGAAAAAGAAGAGAAAATATTCTCAAAAAAGTTTAATAAAAAAGCAATGAGAAAAGTTAAAAGAAAGGAAGAAAAAGAAAGATAGAGCTAATGTAATTTGTTATAGATGTAAACAACCAAGTCATTTTGCCGATAAATGTAAGATGAAAAAGAAAATTAATAGTCTAGAAATTGATAAAAGGAAATAAGGAAGAATTAATAAATTTGTTAAGTTCAAGATCTGAAATAGAAAGTTCAGAAGAAGATGAAATAGATCAACTAAGTAATACATCAGAAAGTTCGGACACTGAGTGTTGTAGTCCTTTTTAAAAAAACAGGTAGTTGTAGTATAAGACAAATTGATGATGAAAATGAAGATTATTATAAAATCTTGTCTCAGTTCAAAGAATCAGATATAAATGCTTTGTCTAATAATAATATCATAAAAATTTTTAAAATTAATTAAGGATAAGGATTTAAGATCCAAAATAGAGAGAGTATTACCTCTTAAGAAAATACAAAATTCTCTCTCGCCGGTTCTCCTAACCCCTCTCTACTAGTGGCCGGATTTTTCAATTTCCAGTCTTGTTTCATGGTCTCATGACCGGTGAACAAGCCGAGGAGCTCCCCACTGGACCTCCTCGCACATTTGCAAGTTTTTTCCAAAAGCCAATAGACACTCCTTCGTCTAAAGGCTCATTAGTCAAGGAAGTCCGATTTGTTAATGGTGTTCCCATTTTGGAGTATGAAGAAGATGAATATGATCAATTGGTAGCCCCACACCAATTGAGTCTAATTGGGAAGTTTTCATATGGTCGACCGAAAATGGAAGAGGTCCACAAAGAATTCAAGAAGCTAGGGTTCCATGGAGGCTATACTCTTGGCCTTATGAATCCTAGGCATGTCCTCATTCGCTTTGAAAGGGAAGAGGATTATCAAAGATGCTGGATTAAAATGTTTTGGAACATCGCCGGATTCTTCATGAGAATTTTGAAATAGAGGCCGGGTTTCAAATTTGAGGAAGATCCCCCCATTGTCCCAATCTGGGTCTCCCTTTTTGATCTCCTGGTTGAATTTCTCAATCCAAAGGTAATTTTTTTGATGGCAACCGCTATTGGGAAGCCATTGAAGGTGGATGCGCCTACTCTCAACATGACATGGCCTTCGGTAGCGCGTTTTTGTGTTGAAGTTGACCTTACGAAAGAGTTCCCAAAATCTGTGAAGGTGGGAAAGAAAGGCAAGAAGCATGATCAGATTTTCACCTACGAACCCATTCCGGCTTATTGTACTAAGTGTAATAAGATCGGGCACAAGAAAGAGGATTGCTGGGCTGGCCTCCAAAAGGTTGTTGACAAGAAGAAAAAGGCTCCGGTGAAGATTGTTGATAGAGTCAAAAAGAAAGACCCTTCGCATGTTAATGCCACAAAGTAGCAGGAGAAAGCTCCGTCTGCTTCAAACCCTAGCGGCAGGAGAAAGCCGCGACTAACCCTAGCGCGCAGGATGCGACAAACCCTAGCGCGCAAGGTGTGGCTGCGTCTGCTTCAGTTGCTGCTACAGATCGACCATCATCGTCAGGACTTTCTGCTAAGGAGAAGAAGAAGATTTCGGTTGATGTGCATGACACCGCAGCAAAAAATCAGTCCAAAGAGGATACCAGTTTCACAGATTCTCCCCCGCAATCAAATGAACCAAGTAGCATGCCAAACCCTAGCGTGTAGCCCGTTGTGGAGAAGAACAGATTCTCGGTTTTGTCTTCGATTCTGGAGATCGATGATGAAATAGGATCTGACGAAGAATTCATTGAATCAGTTTATGTGGAAGACTCCCCAAATAAGGAAGTAGAGGAAATATGTCGGGTTGATGATCATGTTGAATCGTGTGTTTTAGCGCTGATGTCTTTGACGGAGACTCCTCATATCTTTTCTGTTGATAATGACATCGGATTGCATGGAGCTGGTTTGGAGAATGATACGGGAAGCTGGTCTGAGGGTGAGAAAGATGAGGTCCTTGTGCATGGGGACGTCGGGGAGATTTTACGGTTACAAAGAAACGTGGCCGCAAGTCCAAGGAGGAGCGGGCTAGATCACAGGTGGGTTTGGTGCTGTGGCGATCAGCCCGCTTGAACTTATTCCTCTCTGATTTTTTTATCCAATGTTAAACCAAATTATATGGAATATCTGAGGCATAAAGAACCAGGCGTCCCAAAGGCGTTTGAGGTGTTTGCTTCGGGTTTATAATGTTCGGATTCTGGTTATTTTGGAGCCTATGCTTCAGGTTGATAAGTTAGATGAAATAAAGCGAGAGCTTGCTTTTGATATTGCTTTCTCCTCAAATAACAGCAAAATATGGGTTTTTTGCAAATCTGAAATTCAAGCTTCTTTGTTGAGTGATGATGATCAAGTGCTGCACTTTGAAATTAAACATCCTCTAGTGTCTCAGTCTTATTTCTTGTCGGCTGTGTATGCTAAATCGACAAGGGCTGGGAGACGTGACCTTTGGCAAAGTTTGGAAGGTTTTAAACGTAATAATATGGGTGCTCCATGGATGGTATCTGGGGACTTTAATGTTATTAGAAGCTTGGAAGAATACAGTGGTGTCTCGGTGCAGGACCATCCGGCCATAGAGGATTTCAATATGTGTATTCAGGCTTGCAACTTGCTAGAGATTCCAGCTGTTGGCGAGGACTTTACTTGGGGTGGAACAAGGCAAACAGGTTGGGTGAACAAAAAACTAGATAGAGTCCTTTTCTCGGATGAATGGTTGGATTTCTTTCAAGTTAATTCCATTGAGAATTTGAGTAGAACATCATCCGATCACAGCCCCATGCTACATATGTTTGGAGTGCAAGGAGTTTCCAAGCCAAGAGTTTTTCAGTTTCAGCAAATGTGGCTGCGAAGATCGGAGTTTTTTTCAGTAGTCAAGGAGAATTGGGAGTAGCCTATAGATGGTTTTGGAATGATAGTTTTCTCTCTTAAATTGAGAAGGCTAAAAATCAAGCTCAAAGAGTGGAATGAATCGTGTTTTGGTGATGTCTTTGCCAACATTAAGGAAGCGGAAGCAAAGGTGCAACACTTAGAAAATCTTCATGATCTATCCGGCTTGGAGGGTGACAGAATGAACTTGAATAATGCAAAGCCTTTGCTGCTGTTGAGACTTAAAGAGCATGAGGATTTTCTAAGACAAAAAGCACGAATTAGGTGGTTGAAAGAGGGTGATGCTAACACCTCCTACTTTCATGCTTCTTTAAGAGAAAAACGGCTGAGACAAAATATTCATAAAATTCAGGATCGACAAGGAATCATGCTAACTGATATGAATGCCATTGAACGAGAAGCTGTTGGTTTCTTTGAGGATCTTTTGAGTGAGGATGTTGCCTATAGCTCTTCACATAAGGCTGCGCATGAGGTATTCTTGCAACATATCCCGGTTATCTTGGGGGCTGATGACCATGACCTTCTCTTGCACCCCATCTCACTTGAGGAAGTCAAAGAAGCTGTCTTTAATCTGAATGAAGTAAGTGCTCCGGGTGTAGACAGATTCACTGGTGTTTTTTACCGAAGTTGTTGGAATGTCATCTCGGATGATCTTTGGTCCGCATACAAGGAATTTATACTTGGGGTGCCAATTCCACGAGCTATTGCTAGTACTTTAATTACCTTGCTCCCAAAAAAGCAGACTGTAAGTACTTTTTCAGATTTTCGCCCTATGTCTTTGCAATTTTCTCAACAAGATTTTTACCAAAATTTTGACTGAGCACTTGAAGGTGGTGTTACCAAAAGTTATTTCTGAGGAACAATCAGCTTTTTTGGCTGGTAGGGACATCATTGATAATGTTCTGTTGGCACATGATCTTTGCCAGTTCATAAATCGCAAGGCAGAGGGAGGTAATATTGTTTTGAAAATTGATATGATGAAAGCATTTGATAGGGTTAAGTGGAATTTCCTTGAATCTATTTTACTGAAGTTTGGTTTTCCACCACTTTTTGTAAAATTAGTCATGAATAACCTTCAGAACAATTGGTTTTCTGTGTTGGTAAATGGTAGTCCTGCGGGATTTTTTAAAGCTTCTCGGAGAATTAAGCAAGGGGATCCGTTGTCGCCTTACTTGTTTATCATTGTTTCGGAGGCTCTAACTAGAAGATTGAAAGCTCTAGTTTTGGACGGTAAGATTGCTCCTTATGGATCTCTTGCGGGTTCACTTGTGGTCTCACACTTGTGTTTTACAGACGATTTGATTATTTTTACAAAGGGGACTCAAAGATCTTTATGAAGGCTAAATTCTTTCTTTGAGCAATATGAAAAAGCTACAGGCCAAAAAATCAGTAGGGGTAAAAGCTCTTTCGTGGCTTCGGAGAAGTGTAGTTCAAGAAGAATTGAAATGATCAAAGATACATTGGGAATGCAACATGGCGCATTTCCCTTCACATATTTGGGATGCCGGATTTTTTATGGAAGGAAAAAGGCGGCTATATTCCAATTTCTCTTGGATGCTATGGATGCTAAACTCCTGAATTAGAAAAACAAGTTTTTATCTCCGGGAGGCCGACTCATGTTGATTCGGTATGTTTTGAGTTCTATGCCACTTCATGTATTTCCAGCAATTCCACCACCTAAGTCGATCATTAGGAATATGGAAGCTCGCTACCAAAAGTTTCTTTGGGAAGGATCAAGTGACATCAAGAAGAGGCATTGGAGCTCTTGGGAAAGAGTCACTTTTCCCGTTCAAGAAAATGGCCTTGGGTTGAGAAGCTTTGATGATGTTATCTCTGCCCTTACTTCTAAATTATGGTGGAAATTGAAGAACAACAAGGGTATTTGGAGTGCCTTTCTTCACTCTGTCTCATTCGGCTAAGGAGAAGATCTCTTGGGCTAGAGTAATGAAAGTTTGTGAGTGAGCTATAACTTTTTCTAAGATTATTGTACGAAGTGGTGAGCGATCATTCTGGTTTGACAATTGGGGTCCCAATGGTGTTTTTTGGGTTAATGCATTTGATAAGCCTCCATGGCCGAATCTTTGCATTCGAGAATTTCTGGAGAATAAGGACCTTTTCCTACCGGCTTTACAAGGCTCCCTTAGTCCAGCAAACTTTGATATGGATTTTATGGAGGGTGATGATATTCTTGTTTGGCAAAGTACTCCTCAAGGGCAATTTACGGTCAAATCCGCTTTCGAGTCCCTTCAACGGAGGCAGCAACCAGATTTGATGCTTAAGCCTTTGTGACCAAGTTTGTTCGTTCGCGCATCTCTTCCTTCCTCTGGAGATTGCACAATGGTTTGCTTCCATTTCCTAAAATTGTTAGTGCCTTTGGTATATTAACAAGGCATTCTATGTGTCTCCTTTGCAGCAACAAAAGTGATGATTTGCATCATTGCTTCTATGGTTGTAATTTTATTACAGCTATATGGGATCACTTTACTCTTGTTATTAGTGTAGAAGTTCGGGGGCGTAGCACTTTGTTGGGTCTCTTGAAGAGGTGGTGGCGCCATGGATCTTTCACATCAGCGAAAAAGTCTTTGTATTACTTATTCCCCATGAAATAAGGAAATTTTTGAAGGAGTTCAGCCCTCTTTAAGTTCGGTCATTCACTTAATCCATCATCAGGTTAAAGAATTAATTTTCATCCATGGTTTAAAAGTAGTTGGTGATGCTGAAAACTCTTTTATTTTAAGTCTTTTTGGATTTCACTTGACTCGAGCTAATAAAAGGAATCCTAAAGTAGGAAGATGGACTCTCCCAGACTCGAACTGTTTTATTTGAATTCGGATGGATCATCTAATGCCAATGGAGCAGGCTATGGTTTTTTCATCCGAGGAGAAGGTGGTAAGTTCATTTATGGAGAAAGTGGACATTTGGGTGATGGAGATTTTTTCCAAGCAGAAATTTTTGGTATTCTTTTCGATTGCGCAGGTGCGAGATCCTACAACTTTCAAATGTTAGGGTACAAACTGATAATCATTCTCTGTCTTGTATTCTGAATGAGAAGAGAGGATTTCCATGACAATTTCATTTGGAGTTGATTGAGATGTGTTCTGTCATCTCAAGGAATAATTACAATAATTATAAACTCTCATATTTACAGGGAAGGCAATGTTGTTGCAGACTGTTTAGCTAAACAAGCATCAAGTGAAATATCTAATACTTACAATCGTTTAGTATCACTGTCTAGTTTTGTAAAGGGGCTTTTGATATTAGATCAATTGTCCTTTCCATATTTACGAAATTAGCTTTTATGGCCTTGTACAAGGGTAAGACATAAACACTACCCTATTTTTTTTCACATCTTAATAAAATCAGAGAAGGGTGAAACTACGGAACTATATAGTATAAATGTCCATCCCTTCTCCTTGGGTGCATTGTACTATATAGCACTGCCTATCTCAAAAATTTATCTCCTGGGTAGACCCCTTGAGTTTTTTTGAGATAGTTGGAACCTGAATGTCATCCTTGCCTTCCTGCTGAGTTAAAAAAAAACAAAAGATCCAATAATTGAACAAGTAGGTGATATATGCCAACTAGTAGTGATACTCAAAATAATGTAGGAGACAAGATAGAGATGGATAATAATAACCCATATACCATGTCAGAAGTATATAAAATGCTAAAAGACAGAACTCATAAAATAGAGAAATCTCCTATTACTATGAATGATTTAGGAGAAGAGATTAATATTCTTAAAGAAGAAATTAAAATTTTAAAGCAACTCAATAAGAGTTTACATGATAGAGTTTCTAACTTAGAAAACACAAAACAAATAGATTATGATAAGAACATGTTAATAACTTAAACAGGAAATGAAAACTTCTTAGGATCATTAGATTTAATAACTTCCTTTAAATTTCATATTTTTATTAAATTATTGGTAGATCATAATTACTAATTAGAATTAGTAACATTAGTTGATAGTGGTGCTGATGTTAGTGTAATACAGGAAGGTATTATTCCTACTAAATATTTTGAAAAAACCACTCATATAGTAAGACATGATTGTGGAAAAGCATTAGTCATAAATTATAAATTGTCTAAAGGATATATTTGTAATAATCAAGTTTGTATTCTTGAAAGTTTTTTAATAGCTAAAAACTTAACTAGTCAAATTATACTTGGAACTCCTTTTTTAAAAAGAATTTTCCCAATTACGCATATTGATGTTGATAAAATTACAGGCAAATATGATAAAAGATCTGTATCCTTTAAGTTTTAACTAAACCAAATACGAGATTTATTAATGAATTTAAAGATCTTATTTTTAGAAAAAATAATCAAACTAATTTTCTAAAGTTTGAAATTAATACATTTTCAATCGAAGAAAATTGTCCTAAAATACAAGAAAAAAATAAAAAAAAAGGTATACAATAGTATTTCCATTGAGATTTGCAATGAACACCTAGATGCTTTTTGGAATAGAAAAAGACATGTTGTTGGTCTTCCATATGAAGAAGATTTTGATGAATAACAATGATTAGGACAAAAGTAAGACCTTGTCAAATGAATTCTGAATATTTAGAATTATGTAAAAATGAAATGAATATGTTATTAGAAAAAGGTTTGATTAAAAAGTCAAACTCTCCATGGTCATGTACAGGATTCTATGTTAATAAACATAGTGAGATAGAAAGAGGAAAACCAAGATTGTTTATAAATTATAAACCTCTTAATAAAGTATTAAAATGGATTAGACATCCAATTCCTAATAAAAAGGATTTATTAGATAGACTCTATGTTTCATTAATATTTTCTAAATTTGATTTAAAATCTTGGTATTGGTAGATTCAAATTGCTGAATCAGACCAATATAAAACTGCTTTTAATGTTCCAATTGGACACTTTGAATGGAAATTCATGACTTTTGGATTGAAAAATGCACCTTTTAGCAAATCCTAAATGGGCAAAAATAGTACAGACAGATACCTCAGATATAGGATATGGTGGAATATT